AACAATACTTCATTTGTTTTTCTGCCTTTCAAGAAACAGCCCTACACTCACACTGCTTTGTAGACATTCATGTACCAGTAAGAACAGCATCTTGAACAGGTAATTTGACCGCGAAATTCAAATGGTCCAAAAAATTTGAAGGTATGCCATCATAGGCACCATGCCATCATAGGCTGGTTTCCCCTACGTCTTTCTTCCCAAAAGACCTGCCGCATACTGACCACAATATCTGAATCTAGTAAAACAGTAAAACGACCTTCACACTGACATTTGAAAACTTTTTTGCAAAATCTTGTACCCGAGTGTTCTACACCTTGAGACTAGTTTTTGTCTGATAAAAGAAAATTTTTACAAATATTTTGTGGAAAAGCTTCTATTGGTATCAAATACATGGAATTTTAAACATCGTCAACAGAAAATTAGCGCACAATTATTAACTTATTAATAGTTAATTAAGAGAAAACACAACAAGTTGGTAAACATATTAATAACGTTCTTTTAGATATGTCAAATCTATGTTTGCCCATCGTCTTAGTTATTATTTAAAAGTAAAAGGACCATCATTCGTAGCTGATGCGGCTTGTAGTAGTTCTGGGAATGCTCTTCATTCAGCATTCCAAGCTATGAGAAGCGGTGAATGTGAAAATGCAATAGTCGCAGGCTGTAACTTCACTATCCATCCAGGAGCTACAATTCAGTTTTTTCGGTACGACTCCATATTTAAACAAGATAATAATTTCTTTGTTACGACAATACTATTTTAGATTAGGAGTTTTAAGTCCCGACGGAATACCCAGAGTATTCGATCAGGACGCAAACGGTTACGTTAGGAGTGAGGCTTGTACTTGTATTTTCCTGCAAAAATCTAAAAATGCAAAACGAATTTACGCACAAATCATTAATACGAAAGTGAACTGCGACGGTTTTAAAAAAGAAGGGATAACTTACCCTTCGTCGCAAATGCAAGAAGAACTTATCACTGAAATGTACAAAGAGAGTAATATTAAGATTTCAAAACTGAGCTATGTGGAAGCACATGGTACTGGTACTCAAGCTGGTGATCCTGAAGAAGTCAAAGCTATAGATAACGCTTTGGCGAAAAAATGTGGAAAACAGCTTCTCGTGGGTTCAGTGAAATCAAACATCGGTCATACAGAGCCTGCATCAGGTCTGTGTTCAATTGTCAAAGTACTGATTGCTATGGAAACTGGATTTATACCACCCAATATCAATTTGAAAAGAATTAGAAAAGGACTAGAAGGGATTGAACAAAATAGAATGAAAGTTGTGACAGAAGCTACTGAGCTTTTAGACCATGATGCAATTATAGGTGTTAACAATTTTGGTTTCGGAGGCAACAATTGCCATGTGATATTGCAAAGGTTTAAAAAAGATAAAGTCAATGGTGGACTGCCAAAAGATGATGTTCCTAGATTAGTATGTGTCAGTGGTCGTACTAATGAAGCGGTTCTGAAAATTTTAAATAATGTTAGCAAGAAAAACTTGGATGAAGAATACGTCGGTCTGCTTCATCAGTTACATAGAATTAATACTCCAAGTCATTTATATAGAGGATTTGCAGTGGTTTCAAAACGTGGTGTTGTGTCCATGTCATCAAAATTAATGCCCTCTAGAAAACCACACTTGAACATATTTTTTGGACAATTTGTCAATAATTTCCGCGTCCTGGCTTCTTATTTGATGAAATTTTCAATCTTCAAAAACATCGAAATAACGTAAGTTGAGATTTTATTTGTGAGTCTTTAACTATGAGAATTTTTTTCTTGGCGAAAGGATCAATCAAATTTTGATGCTCAACAAAGTAAAAACATTTAAAGAAATTTTAGAAACTAAGACAAAGGTGGAAGAAGACGCATTGGGTTCAATATGTTTGCAGTTAATATTGGTAGATCTTATCAAAGGGTTGGAATTGTTTCCTACTTGCGTTTCCGGTGACACTTCTGGTAAAATCGTTACTGCTTACTACAACAATGTGATTCAACTCAAAGATGCTGTGTCAGCAGCGATAAAATTTAGTAAAGTAAACTTTGATTCTAATTTGAATTCGCAAACATTTCCAAACTTGGTCAACTCTAAAGATAGAGAGTTAGTGAATGAGAATTGTTTAACTTACGAAAATGGTAATAAATTATTGAAAGGGACTGTAATACTAAATATATCCGACCTGCCGCTCAATGGCGAAGATAATTTACTGGTAGAAAACGGTCGCGTCAATTTATTGGGTCTATTAGGAAGGTAAACAATTAGCAACAATGAAATTTGAAGAACATGAAATAAATTTGTAGATTATATACAGAAGGTTATCTTCCTCAAGTACATAAATTGTACCCTCAAGTAGAGTTTCCTGTAAGCAGAGGTACCCCCATGATTTCTCCATCTATTCAATGGAATCACGACAAATCGTGGTACATATATAAATTTAGTGAATTTACAACATCTTCGGACAGGGCAGAAAGAGAATACCGAATTTCGTTCGTATTCGAAGAACATCAGTTCATGAAAGGCCACGAAATCGATGGTAAAACGTCGAAAATAGTACTACGTAATATTTTAACACTTAAGATAACGTTTTCAGGACGTAATCTTCTCCCTGCAACGGAGTATTTAAATCTGGTGTGGCAAACATTTGCCCAAAATCGAAAATTATTACCCTCCGATATTCCTGTATTATTTGAAAACTGTAAGTTTATTAAAGCCATTCCACTGCCCAAGAGTGGCTACGTACGACTAGTAATAACGATTCAAAGCGGGACAGGCAATTTCGAAGTTATAGAAAAAGATTCGTTAATTGTCAGTGGTCGTATCCAGCTTTGTCCTAATGCAAGCCTACAACAAACTGTCGTACCAAATTTTAATTCCTTCAGTGACGATACATCAAAAATATTGGAACAAGACTATATTTATCGAGAATTTTACCTAAGAGGTTACAATTACAGGTTAGTTTGATAATAATAAGAGTCAGCTCGCTATATATTTTTTTAGCGGTTTATTCAAATCAATTAAATGATGCAATGCAGACGCCTCTATTGGTCTGATTAAATGGGAAGACAACTGGTGCGCTTTTATGGATAATATGCTCCAAATGAAAATTCTTCAGTCTGACACAAGGTTGCTTTTCGTTCCGATTGGCATTAAGAAAATTATTATAGATCCCATTAAACACGTAGATATTGTGAACCAACAGAATGCAGAAGAGTGTCTTCTACAAGTTCATGTGAACAAGGATTGCAACTTGATCAAGTAAATAAGCTGCTCACTAATACATATTACAGTTAAAACAGAGTTTTATGTTGTTTAGGTCTGGTGGAATTGAGATACATGGAGTCCAAGTGAAATCTATTTTTAAGAAAAAACCGCGACTCGAACCAGTTTTAGAAAAAAACGTATTTATTTCTAATAATTTATCGTTAGGATTAGAAGAAGCAGTGACAGTCAATACTCAAATAATCTTAGAAAATAGTTTAGAGACTAATTTCAAAGCTGTGGAAATCATAAACGAATTCACGGACCCCAATGCTGAACACATATTAGGTTTTGTCAATAAAACCTTAGAAAATCTCCCAGTCGTAATTCCTGATTTAACCATTTCGTCAAACGCAGCCATGAACGAAACACCTGGTATAAAATTTGAAAGTGTTACTTTAACACCAGAAAGTAATGTACTTCTGTACATTGGTAGCAAAATTTTGGAACACTCAAACTCCTTAAAACAATTATTTGTGCCTCTTAACAAAAATGGATTTATTCTAACACGAGAAGATATCAGTTTCCGTTTAGAAAAAGATATTATTGAGGCAGATGTTCTAACGGACTATGTAACCACAAACGAAAGAATTATTTTATTGCGGAAAAAAGTGGTGGAAAATGTTAAGCCCAAGTTTGTTGAAGTATCTTCGAGTAGTTTCGATTGGCTGCCAGAATTACAAAATGCTTTAAGTCTTAGAAATGATGTTACAGTTTATGCAACAAATCGAAATCCCGAAGGAATATTGGGTTTGGTAAATTGCATCAGGCGAGAAACCAATCGAAACTTAGTTAAGTGTTTCTTTATGATGGACGATGCTCCGGAATTTGATTCTCAACACCCGTTTTATAGTAAACAAATCAATAAAAACATGGCTATGAACATTTATAAGGATAAATCTTGGGGAACGTACCGACATTTGCCTCTGGAAGGGACGCCGAAGATTAACTGCGAACATTCTTATGCATATTTTAAAGCTAGAGGAGACATATCCAGTTTCGAATGGTTACAGGGATCTTTATCCAAAGAAGTACCATTGAATGGACAACTTTTGGTTTCAGTAAGTTACGTAATATATACTTAGTTCCATGGAAATGATAACTGTTTGTAGACATGTTATTCATCTATTAACTTTAAAGATATTATGGCTGCTTCTGGGCGAGTAAACCCTGAAATATTACAACCCCACCGACTTGCCCAAGAATTTCTCATAGGATTTGAATTTTCGGGAAAAGATTTGAGGTACTAAATATTTCTTGGAAAAAAAGAGTTACACATTTTATTTATAGTGGACGTAGAATAGCTGGAATGACTAATAATCAAGGTATTTCGTCCTATGTTACTTCCGATTCTTCCTTAGTCTAGAAAATACCAGACTCATGGACACTTGAGGATGCAGCAACGGTTCCTGTTGTGTATTCCACTGTCATTTATGCGCTTTTAATGGTACGCATATGAACAAACTTCATTTCTCGAATAATTTCCTTTGAAGGTTGGCGATATGACACCGGGTTCTTCAGTTTTTATTCACTCAGCTACTGGTGGTATTGGACTAGCTGCCTTGAACGTTTGTCTTCATTATAAATGTGATATTTACGTAACTGTTGGCACTCAGGAAAAGAGAGCTTAATTAAGAGAAAATTATCCATAAATTCCAGACAACCATATTGGAAATTCACGAGACACCTCATTTGAACAAATGATCAAAAGAGAAACACGTAATAAAGGAGTTGACATGATTTTGAACTCTCTAAGTGAGGATAAACTCCAAGCTTCTATTAGGTGTTTAGCACGAGGGGGAAAGTTTATGGAAATTGGCAAATACGATTTGGCGAATGACAGCTTTTTAAATATTTTGCTAATGGAAAAAGAAGCCAGTTATCATGGGATATTGTTAGATGTCGTTTTTAGAAACTCGAAGGAAATGCAGTCTAACGTGATAAAACGTTTAATAGAGGGAATCGGAGCAGGTTTTGTAAAACCACTTCCCAGAATAGTGTTTAGTGCAGAAGAAGTTGAAAAATCAAACAGATACATGATGACAGGTAAACATATTGGTAGAATACTGATCAAGCTACGGAATGAAGAAGAGGACAGTGTCAGTAAATTCCAGATAATGTCAAATCCACGGTAAGCTATCATTGAGATCAACGTTTAGTTTTTAGTGTAACTCTACAAGCGTTAGATTTAAATTTACAAATGGCTGCTGTGATGTTCGTATAGAATTGCCTTGGGATTTAAGCGATTTTTGGTTTTTTGTTTAATATCAGATTAAACGAAGTCTTAGTACGCGATGCTTTGATAAAGATTAAATGATTATTACTTTTTAGTTTCCACTGTGACGTGCGTTACACCTACGTTGTAATTGGAGGATTAGGTGGAGTTGGTTTAGAACTGAGCGACTGGTTGGTTCTCAGAGGTGCAACGAAACTAGTATTAACTTCGAGATCGGGTATTCAAAATGGTTACCATCAGCAAAGAATAAAGTAAAATATAATCCCTTCGCGCAGTAAAGATATTGAGCAACAATTTTAGTATTTGGACAACATATGGTGTGGAAGTTAGAATTTCTACGAAAGACGTAACCACTGAGCGAGGATGTGAAGATTTAATTAAAGAAGCGAATGAGCTGGGACCCGTAGATGCGATTTTTAACTTAGCTGTTGTCCTTAAAGATGCACTACTTGAAAATCAAACTCAAGAAAATTTCGAAGCTTCGTTAGCACCAAAAGCTCGCGCAACACTATATTTGGATCGAGTCACTAGGAAATTGTGTCCAAAACTAAGGTTTACTGATTACTTAGAGCTACAGCTTGACTGATGATATATTTTAGGTATTTTGTTATATTTTCGTCCGTATCCTGTGGTCGAGGGAATCCGAGTCAGAGCAACTATGGTATGGCAAATTCTGTTATGGAAAGGATATGTGAGAATCGAAAACGAGACGGATTACCAGCTGTAGATATCCAGTGGGGCGCAATTGGCGAAGTACTTAACAAATTTTTACAGAGTTCTTAAAATTAAAAATATATTCAAGGTTGGTTTGGTGGCCAAAATGCAAAAGGAGAACAAAGAGTTAGTGATTGGTGGTACTCTTCAACAAAAAATTTCAAGCTGTCTTGAGGTGTTAGATATTTTAATAAAACATAACTATCCAGTTGTTTCTAGTATGGTAGTTGCCGAAAAATACCAGAAAAGTGGCATTCTTAGTGCAGTAGAAGCAGTCGCCCACGTTCTCGGAATAAAAGACATGAAAACTATAAGTCAGTATACGACGTTTGCAGAACTCGGTATGGATTCGATGATGGGTACAGAGATTATTCAAATTTTGGAGAAAGATTTTGAAATCTATGTAACATCTAAAGATGTGAGAAACTTAACATTTGCAAAGTAACTATTTTGTCAGTCACAAAATGTTGTAATTTATTGGTGAATTTTAGACTGACTGAAATAGAGGCCGAGAAAATAAATACATCTGAAGAAGTTGTAAACAAAAAAATAAAGGAAGGCACAAATTTGCTCATTCAATATATTCCCAAGTGTGAAACTATTCACTTGCCTGCTGTTAAATTAAATACTCAAATTGATTCAAACGCAGAAGTTCCAACCGTGTTACTTTTGCCAGGACTAGAAGGCATTTTCAAACCACTAGAATGTTTGACAAATTCATTAAAAGCACACGTAATAGGAATACAGTACAATTATGAAAATCCAGAAGATAATATTGAAGAAATTGCACGTAATACACTGCCGGTTCGCTAAAATGTATATATTTGAAAGTTACTGTATTTCATCTGTATTATATTTTCAGCACGTTTTAAATCATTTATCCAGAAAAATCCCATTCTACATTATTGGATATTCATTCGGGACTCTAGTTGGTCTAGAAATGCTTAGTTTGTTAGAAGAGAAGGGCTACAATGGTATCATGATTTTAATCGACGGTTCACCAGCATATATAACTTCTTCTTTAAAAAAACAAATGGCGCACGAAACCAGGCGCGGATACAGGATTTCGTTCAGGGGGGGGCAATTTTTGTGCAATTTTACCTATCTACCAGAAATTCGTTCTAAATAAGAAAATTTATAAAATTTTAGCTAGTATACTCTTTTTCACATAACATGGGTGACATTTGGTTCTTTTCAATACACGTATAGTGTACAGTAGAACCTCGATAATCCTAATTAATTGGGAAAAGGTGTGTTCGGATTAACGATTTGTTTGGATCAGCAATTTTCTCAAAAATCTGAAAGGGAATTGAATAACAACTTCATCCACAACTGAAAACAAACTTCAAGAAATAAACCTAAATTTTATTAAACAAAAATTAAAGAATTCTTAAGCAACAATGGATAATAGATACGTTCTAAAAAAATATTACTCCGTGACCATAAACACGCTATCTTTTGGAATAAACATCCCGGGATCTATAGCCTGAAATATTTCAGAATTTTTAGATGAATTTTTCAAAAATGAAATTTTACATTATGTATTCGTATTACCTCCATTATGCAAATTTCGACCCATTCTCGACGATTTTCGAAATTTAACTAAATATATTTTCTAGTAGATTTTGGACCTCAGAAGTCATTTTTGGCTTCATTTCTTCGATAACTTAAACCATTTTTCCAGAATCGTTGAAATATCGCAATTTTTAAAAATTTCGAAAAATTCGAATTTCACAGCGAATTTTCCGAAAATATTGCTCCGTTACCATAAACATGGTATATTTTTGGAAACAGCACGTCGGGATATAATATCTCTGAATTTTTTCAGAATTTTTAGAAAATTTTTTCGAAAATGAAATTTTTCTCATGCAAATTTCGACCCATTTTCGACGATTTTCGAAATTTAGCTAAATACTTTCTCTTGTAGATTTCGGGTCTCCGATAACTTCATCCGTTTTTCCAGAATTAGTTAATTAATTCAGTGCTTTGAAATATCGCAATTTTTAAAAATTTCAAAATATTCCATACAACATATGCAGAAAGATCTTGCGTCATTTTTGGAAGTAGATGCATGTTTTCAAGTTCAGTTCGGATTGCAGAGTTTTTGTTCGAATTAAAGAGGCATCGACTTCAAATAGCCTTTGTTCGGATTACTGCATGTTGAGACAATCGTGAGTTCGGATTATAGAGATTGTACTGTATTTACAAAATGAAATATGATTTCAAAATTTTGAAATTGATCAAAATATAGGACCTCGGTCGTGTGTCAGGGGGGGGCAATTGCACCCATTGCCCCCCCCCTGGATCCGCGCCTGCACGAAACAGATGCCCAGTTCCAAACTGCTATTTTGAGCAAAATATCTGCTTTTGTGATTCCGTTGGATGTATTTTCGCAACATGAGGTAACCAGTGGTGGAGTTATTTCTATTTGTATAATTAAAGTGCGTATATATTTTTTTAGGAAACCTTGCTGAAGTCTAAAAATTTTGAAGAACGAATCGATTTAGTTCTTGCCATGATACCTTCCGAAACAAGTAACAAACAGAAGTTAGAAAAGCAGGCAGGGGTTGCGATGTACAACCGTTGTAAAGCCGTACTTAACTATTCATTTAAAAATAAGAAAATTAAATCGGCGATTCATCTGTTCAAGGCAAAATATTCGATGGTCGACGAAGAAGATGATTACCAATTATCAAATGTAGGCGATATCGTAGAACAAGTAACTACAATAGATGGTGACCACGTAACAATTTTAAATAGTCCAGATCTTGTAAAAGCTGTTAGCGAAATTGTAAAGCTGAAATCATAACTTCAAATAAAATAATTAACCTTTCTTATTTATTTTTTATTAACCCATAACCTCTCAGTTGTGTAGATGTGGAATCGCTTTCATTGTGACGCTCGAAGTCACTCCCGAAACTTACGACTTTGCCTTCACAGCTCTACAAAATCGTTACCAAAACAAAAAAAAGACTCGCCATTCATTATTTTTTCCAAATTAAAAATTTTACTGCTTCATCCTTGAACACCCGCAATGGCCTTCAACACTTTCTCAACATTCACTCAAACTCCATAAACGCTTTGAAAGCTCTTAATATTCCCGATAGTGCTGACTTTCTCTTGTTCCAAATGGTTTCTTAAAACCTTGATACGAATATTCGTAAAGCCTTTGAAGCCAAAATAAAGAGTAACAGCATTCCCACGTATAAAGAATTAATCGACTTCGTAATGGAACAATGCAAGACATTTGAAGTTGTCGGCGCTGCTGAAACATATCTTTTGGAGATCAAAACCCAACCTTCCTGTCAAAGAATATGAACTCAATATCGTTACTCATGGACTAACTTCAGCCGTATATCCCGCACAGAGAGTTCTTCATCAATTAGTTACTGATGAAGGAGCACAATATCCTCTCGCCTCAAATGCATTGATTTCGCAGAGTTATGTGGACGATATTGTGACTGGAGCTGCTTCAGTGAAAGAAGCGGAAAAGCTTAAAACAGAACTGATTAATCTTTTGGTTAAAAGTGGATTCGCACTAAGAAAGTGGTGCAGCAACCTTCCTGAATCACTGAATTCTCTGCCTGCACAGTATCTTGAAAACCCCATCATATTTTCGACAGAAGAGTGTGCATTTAAAATTCTGGGGCTCATGTGGGAACCAAATTCGGACAATTTCACATACCATACTCATCCATTTCAAGGTCTTTCCACGAAAAAAACTATTCTCTCAAATCTTTGATCCTCTCGGCTGGTTGACGCCCGTGGTTTTTTGGGCTAAACATCTCTTACAACAATTATGGCTCCTTCAGTGTAATTGGGACGAACCGTTGAATCCAGTTCTCCGAAATCAATGGGAGGCATGCAGAAATCCACCTTCTCCAACAAATCAGGATTTCAAGAAAATTCCCAAATGATTATCAGCAACTCCGATTAATAGGCTTCTGCGATGCTCCCAAAAGGGGTTCGCCGCCTGTATTTATCTCTGTTTTTTACGCGACAGCTCAAATTACACCATACTTCTCAAAGCAAAGAGCAAGGTTACACCCCTCACACGGCTAAGCATTCCTAGTCTTGAACCCTCAGGAGCACTGCTGTTAGCGAAGTTATTTGTCTCTGTTCGAAAATCCCTTTCTACTTTAAAGATAGAAGAAACTCTACTATACACTGATGCTCAAATCGTCTTAGCGTGGCTATAAACTATGTCTCATATTCTAAAACCCTTTGTAGCTAATCGAGTAGTTAAAATAATTGAGCTTACCAACCCTGAAAGCTGGTATTACATAAGTTCTAAAGAAAACTGCGCAGACACCACTTCCCGGGGAATGATTATTCAACAATTATCTACTTTTCCTTCTTGGATTTATGGACCAGAATTCTTATCGAAATCGCCTACCAAGTGGCCCCGTCAAAGAACATCTATCCTTGCTAACGATATTCCCGAGAAACGTAAGGACAAGATTGTTCTTAATGTGCACACCACGGAAGACGTTTTATGTAAATTCTCCTCACTTGTTCGGCTTCAAAGAGTTTTTGCGTATGTACGACGATTTATCAATAGTGCTCGATACCAAAATTAACGCAAAATTGGCGCCCTTTCCTTGAATGAACTACGAGAAGCATTAATATCCTGCGTTTTCATCAAAATTGTCAACATTTTTGGATAGAGCTGGGCTCCTCAGGATGGGCGGACGTGTACGTCATTCTTATCTTACATTTGAACAAAAACACCCACTTCTACGTCCAAAACACTCTCATTTGTCTGCTCACCTGTACTCTTTACATTCTGGGCGTTTAACCGTACAAGCTCTTATTTCCCAAAAATTTGGATAGTTTCCCTTCGTTCTTCATTACGTCAGCGAATACATAGATGTTTAACTTGCCATAGATTCAAGGAAACTCCGGCTCAGCCTGTTACGGCAGATCTTCCTGCACATAGAACTCAATTGGTACGAGCATTCTTACAAGTTGGCACCGATTTCGGCGGACCTTTTCTTGTGAAAGAAAGTAAACGCCGTAGCGCACGAATCTATAAAGGGTATTTATGCTTATTTGTTTGCATGAGCACCAAAGCCACCCACCTTGAATTTGTCACTGAACTTTCTACTTCTACTTCTATCTTTTTCCTATTGAGGACGCAACTATATTGGAGCAGCAAACCATTTAAAGGAAATAACCAGATTTTTACATGAACATAAGGATCAAATTTTCTCCTCCTTGTCGGCCAAACAAATCAACTGGAATTTCAACCCTCCAACTGCATCCAACTTCGGCGGAATTTGGGTGGCTGGAATAAAATTCGCTAAAAACCTCCTGAAGCGATTTATCAGAGATACAGCACACACACGTTCGAGGAATATACAACTTTATTCACTCGCATAGAAGCCACATTGAACAGCCGACCATTGTCTTTAATTTCTTTCGACCCCATGGAAAACATTGATTATTTGAATCCCAGACATTTCCTTATAGGATCACCGCTACTTTCTCCTCCAGAATCAGATATACCAGAAAACATGACTTGTAAATGCCGTTGGCAGCGTCTTCGTCAAGTTGTTCAACGATTTTGGCGTCGTTGGACCCAAGAGTACCTGCATACACAAACGCAAAGGCTCAAATGGCATCGTAATGCACCTAATATTCAAGAAGGTGACGTCGTTTTCATGTGTGGAATCAATACTCATTCATTATCATGACCTATTGGTCGTGCTGAAACGGTCCTGCCTGGACCCTCGGGGTTGTCCGAGTTGTAAGAGTTAGGACTGCTGCAGGACAGTATATTCGCCCTGTGAACAAACTCGTGACTTTACCCCTCAGTGAAGTCTCCCCCCTTTTTTTTTCTTTTTGTCTCCTTTATTTTCTCCCTTTCTTTTCAGAATTCCCTTTTATTTTCGTTTTTTTTTTGGTGGGCGGTTATGTTAGCGCCATCTATCAGGGGCGTAAGAAAAGAGACAGAGGTGTGCGGTTAGAGAGTCCGAGTACGACCTTTAAATTGAAATAACGTGCACGTGCAAAAAAGGAAGGCGGAGTGAAACCGAAGTGGAACCCGCTGGCGCCAGCAGAAGACAACCAACCCCGAATCTCATGACCTTCTACGAACCCAACGGTTCAGGATTTTCATCCCCGTATAAATCTCTATTATTTATCCACCTCATCTCTCTAATAACTTGGCTAGTTGCTTCGTTCGCAACACATTGTTTTGCGTCAAGAAGATGAAACAGTACCTGCGAAGGACAATACAACAGGAAATTCGGCGGTACGACCTACGAAGATCTAGACAGGTAGAGACCATCGAAACCGAGAATTAGATTCATTGTCATCGCAGACGACCGTCGCTGGATGTTAATTAAGCGTCTGTGCATTGTTTTCGTCAGTGCATTTGTAAACTTTATTCATGTGAACAACACGGAATTAAGGTGCAATGACTCAAGCGGATATGTGGTAATTAAAACGCAGCAAGTTTCAAGTTGTGAATTTTGATCGGACGTCGATACACGATACAGGAAAAGCCATTGTAAGCGAAATGGAGATATTGTACTTTGCTGAATGTTATATTTGCAATAGAAATAAGTAGTCATTTCCTGGATGATCAACTTTAAGAGTAAAAATTTTACGTTTTCAAAAATTTGAATTTTGTAAATGATGGTGTGGCGGCACAATAATACGTAGTAGTAAGCGAGCTTATCGTCCGTAGGATAGTGGTAAGGGCACCCGCCCGGCAAGCGGTAAACGTGCGGTTCGATTCCTACCGGAGAAGCAACATTTTTCTTCGCTTACCTACATTGCTGACCACCGACAGGCAGCACGCACGCACGCACGCAACATTCTTCTGCTACCGCCCTGTGTCCGCTGTGTTTGGGGTCCGCAGCATCGCCAGGGTTCGAACGGAGTAGAGTAGCAGGGGCGACGCCAGCATCTATTTCCTTCCCACTCCAGCACGACCGCGCGCTGGGGGGGGGGGTAGTAATGTGGCGGCACAATAATACGTAGTAGTAAGCGAGGAAAGATAACCTCCTTCGTAGTCTAGTGGTAAGGGCACCCGCCCGGCAAGCGGTAAACGTGCGGTTCGATTCCCACCGGAGAAGCAACATTTTTCTTCGCTTACCTACAATGGAATTCTTGACAGAAATTGTATTAAAAAACACAAAGGAAATATTAATTACGCTGAAAATACATTGAGATTGTCAAATTGTCACAATACAGTAACAGTACCTTTAGAATCAGATCAGAATTACTATATTTTAGTAATTCCACCACGTCGCGGAACAGTTCAGTATTTACCTATAACAACTAACGAAGATTGCCACTATCTTTGACGTAGTTCAGCAGCAGTTCTGGCCAATAAAGGTGCCAACACACCAATCTGAAAAGATTGGGTGGGTGGAAAAGTTCGACTATCGTTGAATCATGAGTGAAAGAATCAATGCAAGATAAGATCAATGTTGCTAAAAAAATGGTTGACTGCCAAACCTCCTCATCTACGACAGAAAATAATTGTAATAATTTAACAATGGAAGAAGACATTACTATCAGCACTCGTAGTGAATTTGCCATAAAAAAGAAGACCGAAACCGAAGAAATAACTAAACCTTATTTTTAAGGTTGTCCTAATTGCACGGTGAACATAAATAATTATAATTATTACTAGCTGACCCCGTGAACTTCGTTTCACCTACAATGTAATTTTGAATCTGCAAAATCGAATGCTGTGAAATCTTGCAGATGTTTTAAACATAGGATAAGCATAATAAATTTTTATTCAAAATATATTTACTTATCCCCTCCAAAAAATTGATGACGTCAGCCCAAAATTTTGCCAAATGAATCCTATCTAAAATGTTCAAAATAGGATGAGACTATACTTGTGATTTATCATTCCATTCATATTTTTTAGTTTTGCTTATAGGGGGGTGTCTCAAAAAAAATTAATCACTGAGTCAATTTATTTTATTGATTGAATCAAGAATTGCAAAACTGAATTTTGAAATATTGCAGAGGTTTTGAAGTTACTGTTTGACATGGTAGGTTTTCAATCAAAATATATCTGTTTATCAAGCCCAAAAACTTGAAGACGTCATCTCAAGGTTTTGCCGAATAGATCCTATCTAAAATGTGGAAAATATCATCCGTATATTTTCGTAATTTATCATTGCATTCATATTTTTTAGATTTGCTTTTACAGTGACTCAAAAAAATATATGGATCAGTCAATTTATTTTAGTGAATAACTCAAGAGTTGCAAAAATGAATACTTTGAGATCTTGCAGACGTTTTAAAGTTATTGTAAGCATGGTAAATTGTTAAGAATATTTATTTATTGCCCCCAAAAAATTGATGGAATGGCTCACTCGATTTTCGCAGATAATTTTGGGAATACAATACAGTTATTTTTAGTATTACACTGCACCAATCCAAGGTGATATACGTGTTGATCGTAAATGTTGATTAGGTCATCACAAAATTGTGTGAAGAAAATACTCAACTCGAAACTGCTGAATATGTTTCATTATACTTTTGGTGCTAAGGAAGTTCTGTCAAAACAACGTTCGATCAATTTTTTGACAATGGTTGATATAAATAAAACTCAGTAGATGCTCATACTCGAAATACGAAGTATCTACTCGAATATCAAATCAAAATATTTCTAGTTTTTCTAGATGATATTAATACTTCAGTAGGTTGCTCAAGTAGCATCTCGATACAACAAAAAAGGAAAACAGTGATAGTGTTCAACATCAAAGCAAAAATCGAATCACCAAAATATAAATTAGTATGGGGTAGACACCTTGAGATGGGAATCTCTATGGCCAGTGTTATAAAAAATGCACTGCATAATTTATGCATAAATAAAAGTTAATTACCTGAAAAGTTTTCGATATTCATGTTCCTAATGTGTTTTTCAAACTGAATGCACCTTTTGACGACGTTCCACGTTCATGAAAGTCGCCATGTTTAGTTAAAATTCACTCTTATAACCATCCTACTCGTTTTCTAAGCTGCTTGACAGACAGCTCAGTTATTTGCCACGCCGATCCTCATTTTTGGATTAAATGCTCACAAAACGCGTAGATGTTCAATTTGTGTCCGGGGAGATACAATGTTTCCAAGTAGGTACTCAGTACATAGAGTAGATGCTCAGGTATATAAGAGTAATAATGAAGTAGGTACTTCGTACTTCGAATATTAGTTTCTACTCAGTTTTATTCATTCTATTCATGTTGATTATGAGCACAACGCTGATCAACTTCCATATCCGAATTACCCATGAAATAAATCATTGCGGTTTGCACCTGAGGCAGTTCGTCGCACATTTGATTGACATCGTGGACCTATGTGAGGCTGTCGTCTTCTCGGCAGTTTAATAAACTTCATAAAACGACACATAATTATATTCACAGTCAATCAAATCTGTAAATTTTGTCTTGAGAATTTTAAAATATTGAAAACTTCAAATTAAATCCTCGAATAACGGTAAAGTTTGAGGTTTTGTCGAAACCTACAAAGTGAATATAGGTAAATAGAATGGCAGATCAAAATTAATAATTAGAAACTTCCGCAATGTGTAATTAAATTCACTTTAACCAAGACTTTTCTTAAAATAAACGACGTTTTTTTTACGAAAAACAAAGAACGGTTTGAAATGCAATATACTTTTCACAATTGCACGGAAGAATTAGTTTTGTATGACACGTCAGTTAGACGACAGGTCCGTCAGAAACGCCAACTGTTGAAATTAATTCGAAGTGGCGATTCCCATACAAAATTTTTAGATTTTTTTTATTTTTTAACTGTTCTTTTAAGTTTTCCTTATTTTTTTTTATTTATAAACCATCCCCGTAATATAAAAAATTCTTCAAATCGGTCAAGCCGTTTTTGACTCTTAGCGAGACTAACAGGAACAGCAATTGATTTTTATTATATAGACGATTAAAAAATGGGGGTTGGTGGTAGAAAGGTGAAAATTTAGGGTTATGTGTATTTTTTGATGCCAATTCTTAAAAAAATAAAAATAAAATATTTTGTCCAAAAAATAGACCAAAATTTTTTAGGGTGGGCCACCCTTATCACTTAGGGGTTTAAAAAATAGTTTAGAACCTATTCTCAGACCTACCGAATATACATAAAAAATTTCATACAAATCGGTCAACCCATTTCGGAGAAGTTCGGTTACAAACACTGACGCGAGAATTTTACACATAATGCATTATTATTTTAGAACAAATTTCATTACCATAAAAAAGGTTATACTGACTCGACCTTAAAAGATAGACATATGCTGTCGCGGACTTTTCTTTAGAACTTTTAGAGGGGAACAATTTCGTCATACATGATTTTTACGTAACTTTAACCGTTTAAGCAGCGTAAGCAACGGAAGCTCTCAAAGGAGGAATAATTTTCCCGTTTTTCCGAATTTTTCATTGCTACTTCGCTCCTAATGATCGTAGCGTGATGTTATATAGCCTATATGTAGATATGATACATAGACTATCCAACACAAAAAGATTTTTTGAATTTGAACCAGTAGTTTCTGAGATTAACGTGTTCAAATAAACAAAAGCTTCAGCTTTATTATATAAGTATAGATTATGGAAAGTAGAATTCGTAGTTTGTTTTTGTATATTGATATTACTTATAATTTTGATAATAAAGGTTTATCAAATAATGTCTTTCCTTGTATATCAAAATACCAACGCGTCATTTTACATTACAAGTAAATATTATTGAAGCAAAGTAAAAAAAATAGTAGTAATGTATACAGTTACGTAATGCATCCGATTTAGTCGGTCGTGTTACAAAATATAGGCCTGAGTTTAACGTAATTTGAAAACAAAACCTTGCCCGGAAACAACAATAACAAGGTCCATGTATGTTAAGTATTCTGAATCCCTTATTTGTTTCAACAGAAAATTTAATTCAAAGTCCTTATTCAGGGTCGCTAGAATGTATGGAAACGGTTAAATGTCTTGAGAACCAATTGTATAAATCACCTGAAATTAGGTACAAGGGTACAAGAAGTTATGCACTAATTATTCGTAGAAAAATTATTTTTTTTACTTCATTTGCCAACTTGTTTTTTTTAATGGCACTAATAGAATAGACGTTTTTTATTTAATTCATTGAAGTAGCACAATCATACTTTCTTTCTGAAACTAAGCGAATGGAATTACTAATGATTATTATTGGTTACGGTGACGAAAGGCGAAGTTTTGCTCAAGCAGTCATACTTTTCAATGAAATTCATCTTGAGCGAGAACCCGGTTTCAAAAACCCTACGAAGATTTAATGAAGCTGGAAGTGTTAAAGAACGTCGAAAACCTGGTAGGTCAAAAACTGATACAAATTATGAAAATGCCCTTAATGCCCTCTTAGACACAACAGAAAATCCCAAAACGTGAGTGCAACAATTAGCGCACAGTATTAGTAGAAAATGAATTCAAACAATAATGAAAAAGGAAAAGTTTCACCCATCCAAAATCCATTTGGTACAAGAGCTAAACGAAAATAGTTTTGATCGTAGAGTTGAATTTACCGAAATTGTTATGAACAGAATACAACAAGACGGAAATTTTATTTCGAGAGTTCTTTTATCAATCTAACGTATACATTTCATGGTCTTGTCTGAATGCCAGTCATTTCCGGTTAATGATGGGTCTAAACAAAATTTCCAGAAGCGATTAGCAACCCCACTAATTTATTAAAATGTATGCTGTTTGAATCAAGTGTAACTTATTAAAGAAGTTCATTGTTCCTTTCCATATCCTAATACACAAAAATTCCCCTCCATTTCCGTTGCCCAATTTATAAATATGTGAACATTTCAAGAGCAAAATAATTTACTACTTCTTTGTAGTGTGCCGCACGTCGTGTAATTTTTGGTGTTTGTTTGTCGTAATTGTTGCAAAAATCAACAATGGATCTAAACGAAATTCAAGAAAAAGAAAAAATTGACGTGAATTTTGAATATGGTCGTTGGTTGGCCTCTCCGCCCGCCGGCGAGGAAGTGGTCATCTCTGGCATGTCTGGTCGTTTTCCAAAATCCGATAACATTCACGAGTTTCGTGATAACCTGTTTAACAAAACGGACATTATCATTCTAAATGAGAAAAGATATAAATTCGATCATCCCGATCTACCGAAAAGAAATGGTCTTGTTAGTAATCTTAACAAATTGGATGGCGGGTATTTTGGGCTGCATTATCGTCAAGCTGATAATACAGACCCTGGAGTGAGAGGTTTGATGGAAACGACCGTAGAAGCTATTATGGACGCTGGAATAAATCCGTCGGAGCTCAAAGGAAGTAAAACTGGCGTATTCGTCGCGTATTCTTACTCGGATGTGGAAAATTTTGCATTCGTGGGTGCGTCGGAAGCACAGAAGTTTACCGTTACTGGGTAAGAAAATTTTGTTGACAATTTTCGAAACTTATATTGTCGCTGGCAGATAAAACAACGTGTTTTTCTTTATTGGTTTGTAGATTAAATTCAAAACATTTTATTCGATCGAGGCTTATTAATAGTTTTATTTCCTTATTTTGTGGTGATAAACTCATTGAAATCAAACAAATGTCTGCTTGACATTCTTCCGATGTATAAACATAAACACTTCAAGCACTGCGCATGTTGCTGAGAGGCTATTTTCCCGTTGGTGATCTGCTGTAAATATATTTTACATTGTTCGTACTTATGCGGCGTGCGGCAAGATGCGGATTTATATGGATCTTTGAGTCTCGAAGTTAAGGGACCCCTTCTGGCCTAAATGTAAAGAATATATTTTCACGGTCACAAGGAAGTATAAAATAAATAAAAATGAATTTTAATCCTTGTTTTGCAACAATTACTGCGTCCATATTTATAAGTTGCATAAAGGAAGTGTATTGGATTTTAAAAGCAGCATTGTAATATGGTAATCAAATAGTGAGCTATTAAAACCAATTAAAACAACTTGCCTTTTAACTATTTGTTCGATAATTGGCAGTTAATTAATCAAATAATTTTTAAAATTAATGGACTAAAGAGTCGAATTTTCACATGCAAAAGAGCACCAGTAACACAATTTCTAACACATCATCAACTCTAAGTTTGTCCGAAGTTATTCAGCTAATAATAATTAGGACTATATTTCTTTTAGCTATATCAAATCTATGTTGGCCCATCGTCTTAGTTATTACTTGAAGTTAAAAGGACCATCATTTATAATTGATACGGCGTGTAGCAGTTCTGGGAATGCTCTTCATTCTGCGTTTAAATCATTGAGAAGTGGTGAATGTGAAAATGCGATAGTCGCTACCTGTAATTTCACTATCCATCCAGGAGGTACAATTCAGTTTTTTCGGTACAATTGCATATATAGGTACAAGATAATAATTTTATTTTTACAACAATATAATTTTAGCTTAGGAGTTTTAAGTCCGGACGGGGTACCCAGAGTATTCGATCAGGGTGCAAACGGTTACGTTAGAAGTGAAGCTTGTATATGTATCTTGCTCCAAAAATCTAAAAATGCCAAACGAATTTACGCACAAATTATTAACACGAAAGCGAACTGCGACGGTTTTAAAAAAGAAGGGATAACATATCCTTCGTCGCAAATGCAAGAAGAACTTATGACTCAAATGTACAAAGAAAGTAATATTACCCCTTCAGAACTGAGCTACGTTGAAGCACATGCCACTGGTACCCAGGTTGGTGATCCTGAAGAAGTAAATGCTATAGACAAGGCTTTGGCGAAAAAATGTGGAAAACAGCTTCTCGTGGGTTCAGTAAAATCAAATATCGGTCACACAGAACCTGCTTCAGGTCTTTGTGCAATTGTTAAAGTACTGATTGCGATGGAAACTGGATTTATACCACCTAATATCAACTTAAAAACAGTTCGAAAGGGTTTGGAAGGGATTGAACAAAATAGAATGAAAGTTGTGACAGAAGCTACTGAGCTTTTAGGCCATGATGCCATTGTAGGTGTTAATAACTTTGGTTTCGGAGGAAGCAACTGTCACCTGATATTGCAAAGGTTTAAAAAACAAAAAATCAATGGTGGACTGCCAAAAGATGATGTTCCTAGATTAATTTGTGTTAGTGGTCGCACTGACGAAGCAGTTCTGAAAATTTTAGACGATGTCAGCAACAAAAGCGTGGATGAAGAATATGTCGGTCTGCTTCATCAATTATATAAAATTGATACTCCAAGTCATTTATATAGAGGATATGCAGTTGTTTCCAAACGTGGTGTCGTGTCCATGTCATCAAAATTAATGCCCTCTAGAAAACCACACTTGCACGTATTTTTTGGACAATTTGTAAATAATTTCCGCGTATTGGCTTCTTATTTGATGAAATTTTCGATCTTCAAAGACATCGAAACAAAGTAAGTTGAGATTTTAGTTGTGAGTCTTTAACTATGAGAATTTTTTTCTTGGCGAAAGGATCAATCAAATTTTGATGCTCTACAAAGTAAAAACGTTTAAAGAAATTTTAGAAACAAAGACAAAAGTCGAAGAAGACGCATTGGGGTCAATATGTTTGCAGTTGATGTTAGTAGATATTATCAAAGAGTTGGAATTGTTCCCCACTGGCGTTTCAGGTGATGCTTCTGGTAAAATCGTTACTGCTTACTACAACAATGTGGTTCAACTCAAAGATGCTGTGTCAGCAGCGATAAAATTTAGTAAAGTTAACTTTGATTCTAATTTGAATTCGCAAACATTACCAAGCTTGGTGAACTCTAAAGATAGAGAGCTAGTGAAGGAGAATTGTTTAACTTATGAAAATGGTCATAAATTATTGAAAGGGACTGTAATACTAAATATATCCGATCTGCCGCTCAATGGCGAAGATAATTTACTGGTACAAAACGGTGGCGTCAATTTATTGGGTCTATTAGGAAGGTAAACAATTAGCAACAATGAAATTTAAAGAACTTGGAATAAATTTGTAGATTATATACAGAAGGTTATCTTCCTCAAGTACATAAATTGTACCCTGAAGTAGAGTTCCCTGTAAGCAGAGGCACCTCCTTGATTTCTCCTTCTATTGAATGGAATCACGACAAATCGTGGTACATATATAAATTTAGTGAATTTACAACATCTTCGGACAGGGCAGAAAGGGAATGCATAATTTCGTTCATATTCGAGGAACATCAGTTCATGAAAGGACACGAAATTGATGGTAAAACTTCGAAAATAGTATTAAGAAATATATTAACACTTAAGGCAACGTTTTCAGGACGTAATCTTCTCCCTGCTACGGAGTATTTAAATCTGGTGTGGCAAACATTGGCTCAAAATCGAAAATTACTACCCTCCGATATTCCCGTGTTATTTGAAGACTGTAAGTTTATGAAAGCTATTACATTGCCGAAGAGTGGCTACGTACGACTAGTAATAACGATTCAAAGCGGGACAGGCAATTTCGAAGTTATAGAAAAAGATTCGTTAATTGTCAGTGGCCGTATTCAACTTTGCCCTAATGCAAGCCAACAACAAACCGTGCTACCAAGTTTTAATTCTTTCAGTGATGATAAACTAGAAATATTGGAACAAGACGATATTTATCGAGAATTTTACTTAAGAGGTTACAATTACAGGTTAGTTTGATAACAACAAGACACAGCTCGCTATATATATTTTTAGCGGTTTATTCAAATCAATTAAACGATGCAATGCAGACGCCTCTATTGGTCTGATCAAATGGGAAGACAACTGGTGCGCTTTTATGGATAATATGCTCCAAATGAAAATTCTTCAGTCTGACACAAGGTTGCTTTATGTTCCTATTGGAATTAAGAAAATTATTATAGATCCCTTAAAACATGCTGATATTGTGAACCAACAGGATTTAAAAGAATGTGTTCTACCGGTTCATGTGAATAAATATTGCAACTTGATCAGGTAAATACATTATTCACTAATATTACAATCAGAAAATAACTTTGTTTAGGTCTGGTGGAATTGAAATACAGGGAGTCCAAGTCAAATCTATTTTCAAGAAAAAACAACGGTTGGAGCCAGTTTTAGAAAAAAATGTATTTGTCCCAAATAACTGCTCGTTAGAATTAGAAGAAGTTGTGTGCGTCAACACCCAGATAATCTTAGAAAATAGTTTAGAAAACAATTTTAAAGCTGTGGAAATTATAAATGAATTCACGGACCCAAATGCTGCACACATCTTAAGTTTTGTCAATAAAACCTTAGAAAATCTGCCAGTCGTAACTCCCGATTTAACCATTTCGTCAAACACAGCCATAAACGAAACACCTGGTATAAAATTTGAAAGTGTTACTTTAACACCAGAAAGTAATATACTTCTGTACATTGGTAGCAAAATTTTGGAACACTCAAACTCCTTAAAACAATTATTTGTGCCTCTTAACAAAAATGGATTTATTCTAACACGAGAAGATATCAGTTTCCGTTTAGAAAAAGATATTATTGAGGCAGATGTTCTAACGGACTATGTAACCACAAACGAAAGAATTATTTTATTGCGGAAAAAAGTGGTGGAAAATGTTAAGCCCAAGTTTGTTGAAGTATCTTCGAGTAGTTTCGATTGGCTGCCAGAAATACAAAATGCTTTAAGTCTTAGAACTGATGTTACAGTTTATGCAACAAATCGAGATCCCGAAGGAATACTGGGTTTGGTAAATTGCATCAGGCGAGAAACCAATGGAAACTTAGTTAAGTGTTACTTTATGATGGACGATGCTCCGAAATTTGATCCCCAACATTCGTTCTATAGTAAACAACTTAGTAAAAACTTGGCTGTAAACATTTATAAGGACAAATCGTGGGGAACATATCGACATTTGCTTTTGGAGGAGACGCCGAAGGTTAATAGTGAACATTCTTATGCATATTTTAAAAGTAGAGGAGACATATCCAGTTTCGAATGGTTGGAAGGACCATTATCTGAAGAAGTACCACTAAAAGAAGGACGAATTTTAGTTTCAGTAAGTTACATAAAATAAATATACATATTTCTATGTAAATGATTACTAATCGTAGACATGCTATTCGTCAGTTAACTTTAAAGATATTATGGTCGCTTCTGGGCGTGTAAATCCCGAAACATTGCAATCCCATCGACTTGACCAAGAATTTCTAATAGGATTTGAATTTTCAGGAAAAGATTTAAGGTGGTATTACTATTTAGTGGAAAATAGCAAAATTGCACATTTTATTTACAGCGGTCGCAGAATAGCTGGAATGACTGACACTCAAGGTATTTCTTCTTATGTTACTTTCGATTCTTCCTTAGTCTGGAAAATACCAGACTCATGGACCCTTGAAGATGCAGCAACGGTTCCTGTTGTCTACTCCACTGTTATTTACGCTCTTTTAATGGTACGTACACGAAAAAAATTAGCCGCTCTAATAACTTGTTTTTAAGGTTGGCGATATGAAACCGGGTTCTTCAGTTCTAATTCATTCAGCCACTGGTGGTATTGGACTAGCTGCCTTGAACATTTGTCTTCACTATAAATGCAAAATTTATGTAACGGTTGGCACTCAGGAGAAAAGAGCTTATTTAAGAGAAAATTATCCACAAATTCCAGACCATCATATTGGAAATTCACGAGACACCTCATTTGAGCAAATGGTCAAAAGGGAAACCCGGAATAAAGGAGTTGACTTTATTTTGAACTCTCTAAGTGAAGATAAGCTGCAGGCTTCGGTTCGATGTTTAGGACGAGGGGGAAAATTTATGGAAATTGGGAAATACGATCTAGCAAATGACAGTTCTTTAAACCTATTGCTCATGGAGAAAGAAGCTAGTTACCAAGGAATATTTTTAGATGATGTTTTTAGAAATTGCGAGGAAATGAAGTCTAAAGTAGTAAAACGTTTAGTAGAAGGAATGGAAGCAGGTTTTGTAAAACCACTTCCCAGGATTGTGTTCAACGCAGACGAAGTTGAAAAATCGTACAGGTACATGATGACAGGTAAACATATTGGGAGAATACTGATTAAACTGCGCAATGAGGAAGAACATAGTGTCAGTAATTCCCAGAAAATTTCAAAACCACGGTAAGTTATCATTGACAACAGGTAGGCGGTTTTTCGTGTGTCCTTAAAATTAAATCAAACGGCGTCTTAATATTTACTTATAGAATTAAAATTATTTTTTTCAAGTTTCCACTGTGACTTGCGTAAAACCTACGTCGTTATTGGAGGACTAGGTGGTGTTGGTTTAGAATTAAGCGACTGGTTGATTTTGAGAGGTGCAAGAAAACTAGTACTAGCGTCGAGATCGGGCATTCAAAGTGGTTACCAACAGCAAAGAATAAAGTAAATTATAATCTCTTCACGTAGTGAAAATACAAAGTGACAATTTTAGTATTTGGACGACATATGGAGTAGAAGTTAAAATATCTACGAAAGACGTAACCACTGAACGAGGGTGTGAAGATTTAATCAAAGAAGCCACCGAGCTTGGACCTGTCGACGCTATTTTTAACTTAGCTGTTGTTCTTAAAGACGCACTATTTGAAAATCAAACTCAAGAAAATTTCCAGGCTTCGTTGGCACCAAAATCTCGCGCTACGTTATATTTGGATCGAATCACTAGGAAATTATGTCCAAAACTAAGGTTTTCTTATTACCTGGAGGTACCGGTTGATTCTGACGATAGGTTTCAGATATTTTGTGATATTTTCATCAGTATCCTGTGGTCGTGGGAATTCGGGTCAAAGCAACTACGGTATGGCAAACTCTGTTATGGAAAGGATATGTGAGAATCGAAAACGAGAAGGATTACCGGCTGTAGCTATCCAGTGGGGCGCGATCGGTGAAGTAATTAACAATTTTTAAAAATTTCTTAAAATTATAAAAACTTTCAAGGTTGGTTTAGTAGCCAAAATGCAAAAGGAGAATAAAGAATTAGTGATTGGTGGTACTCTTCAGCAAAAGATTTCAAGCTGTCTTGAGGTGTTAGATGTTTTGTTAAAACATAACTATCCAGTTGTTTCTAGTATGGTGGTTGCCGAAAAACAAGACAAAAGTGGCATTTTTAGTGCGGTAGAAGCGGTTGCCCACGTTCTCGGAATAAAGGACATGAAAACTATAAGTCAGTATACGACGTTTGCAGAACTCGGGATGGATTCGATGATGGGTACAGAGATTATTCAACTTTTAGAGAAAGATTTTGAAATCTACGTAACATCTAAAGATGTGAGAAGTTTAACATTTGCAAAGTAAATATTTTATGACTAACAAAATATTGCAATTTAGTGTTGATTTTTAGACTGGCTGAAATGGAGGCAGAGAAAGTAAATAAATCTGAAGAAGTTGTAAACAAGAAGATAGAGGAAGGTAAAAATTTGCTCATTCAGTATATTCCTGAGAGCGAAAGTGTTCAGTTGCCTGCTGTGAAATTAATTAGCCAAGTGGATTCAGAAGAGGAAGCTCCAACTGCATTAGTGTTGCCAGGAGTTGAAGGTGTTTTCAAACCACTGGAACTTTTGACAAATTCATTAAAAGCACACGTAATAGGATTACAGTATAGCTATAACAATCCGGAGGACAGTGTTGAAGAAATTGCACATAATATACTGCCGGTTAGTTAAGATACTTTTAAAATGAATTATTGATTTACTTTACAATATTTTTAGCACATCGAAAATTATTTATCCAGAAAAATCCCCTTTTACGTTATTGGATATTCATTTGGTTGTCTAGTCGGTCTAGAAATAATCAGTCTGTTAGAAGAGAAAGGTTATAATGGAATCATGATTTGCATCGACGGTTCACCAGCATATATAACTTCGTCTTTAAAAAAACAATTCGCACATGAAACAGATGCCCAGTTCCAAACTGCGATTTTGAGCAAAATCTCTGCTGTTGTGATTCCGTTGGATATATTTTCGCAATACGAGGTATGTGGTAGTGGAGGTATTTCTATTTATATAATTACAGTGCGAATGCGTTTCTTTCAGGAAACCTTCCTGAAGTGCAAAAATTTTGACGAACGAGTCGAATTGTTTCTGACCTTGTTACCTCCAGAAACAAGTGACAAACACAAGTTAGAAAAGCAGGCAGGTCTTGCGTTATACAGACGTTGTAAAGCTATACTTAACTATTCATTTAAAAATAAGAAAATTAAATCGGCAGTGCATCTGTTCAAGGCAAAATATCCCATGGTTGAGGAAGGAGACGACTATCAGTTATCGAACGCATGCGACAATCTAGTACAAGTAACTGCAATTGATGGTGACCACGTAACAATTTTAAATAGTCCAGATCTTGTAAAAGCTCTTAGCGAAATCGTAGCGCTGAAATCATAACTTTAAATAAAATAATCATCACTTCTTATTTTTTTTATTTTATAGTTACCTAACCTGTATATAATGGTGGCTGTTGCATAAAAAATTCCAACGTTGCAGTAATTTACATCAGAAGCAGTTGTTATAAATTCAATTGCTGATGTTGAAATTCTGAACTTCCAAGTATTTTAAGTGTTAGGCCACTATTACGATCTGAATTCGTCTTAAAAATTGTTGGTAATATATAATTACAGAGGCAGTCTAAAATATATAACACAGAAACATAAAAAATAAGTTTTGACCCTAAGGGTCATTTATTTTTCCAAATTTATTCAAATATTCGAAACAGTATAATTTGAATTAAAGTAAAGTATTCGATACCGTAGGTAAATCTGCTTTTGCTACTGGCAAAATTAGAATAATATGGTGTACGAGGTAATCTACATAGTCTTTTGAGATCTTATCTTTTTGAAAGATCCAAGCAGTTTAAAAAAAAATATATTACGATGATTGTTATGTAATTTAAAAATCGGCTTGGGTAAAAATCAACAAGTTCGCGACGGTGGTCTCTATTTAAATAATCTTTTGTTCCTCTGGATGGCTTGCGAACGCCGTTTTGAGGTTTTTCTGGAGTTCGCCATTGAGACTTCCGGCAACCCGTTCCAGGCTTTTCTTTATGTGAACGTCGCCCGGCCGTCGTCACCGATGATGAGTCACCCATCATCACTGTAGGAGTTAGGTTAAATATTAATTAACTTTTTAAATAGCACATATTTTCCTTTTAATAAATAAATAATTAAACGAATTAATATAGGTTTAATTACTATATTATGAATACAACCATGTACGGCAAACCAAAATCATTACAATAACAACAATACACATAAAAAAATAAAGACAATATGTAGTTGAGAATTATAAAAGAGAAAATGAGATAAACGACAGACAACAACAACAACAATGAAACAAATATATCCCATTTATGAAATTAACTGAAACGGAGCATTTAAGAATTCCTCGACAGAATAAGAGCAACTTTTGAGTACGAGATACTTAAACAGCAGATTTGTCCTATTTTAATATGATATACCTGTGTAAGAATAGAGATTTTCTATTCTATTCTAAATTTATATAAAGGACAATGCTGAATACTATTAGGCAGCTTGTTGTAAAGATGCAAATTTAAAGAGTTTCTTATAGAGTTGTTAATTCTATAAAGTGGTACGGCAAGCTGATTTTTGTTTTTGATGTCATGACTGTGTATTTGCGAATGAAGTATCTTTCCGTTTACGGATCTCGACAACAGTGTGATATCCAATAAGGCTCGGTTATTGTGTAAAATGCATATTTTTCATGTTCTGCATATTCCATATTTTAATGTTAAGTGCGTTTTTATGCATATTTTAAAATTTTTCTGCATTGTTCGTGGTAATTGGTGACAATTCTAATTTTAATACAATTTTAACACAGTTGGTTATTGGTAGTATGCAGGTAAATAAGTACCGAGTTTTTCTAGTAATGCGGACGAGTTTTTCCAAGACTTCATTTATGGGCACCCCCAATTAGGCGTATTACTGGAATTCTTTATTTAACGGCCTCTAAGTCGGATGTTGTAAATATAGATAGTATAAATGTATTTAATGAGGGGTTGGAAGAGATAGAAAACCTAGAATGGATTTGTAAGTATTTCATTCTTCGATTTCCAAATTCATTCATCATTCGTCTAGGAACTTGGCGGCAGGCTAGTGATATTACGAATAATTAAAAAAATGTCTTCCAAACTGTCATCGTGGATTCGGGCCTACTCAGAGTTGCTTCTAGACGGAGATAGTGTTTATTGCAAACCTTGCGGCAAAGCAGTAAGTTTTTTAAAATATATATTCAGTCCTTAGATTAAAGTCTAAAAGAATCCAATAAAAAAATATGTTTTGCATGTTATTCATTGTCAATAATAGGTATCTTTTACATAAAAATAATTATTTGTTTTCAATTTTTTTTATAGATTTCGAGCACAAAAAAAAATCTTATAGACCAACACTGCTAAATGCAGCCCACACTGCATTATTAAATCTTGGGATGAATTTTAATTGGTCTCCAGAAATTAGTGTCACTCTGTTTGTACAAGCATTTAGGGTCCTTAGTTTCCGCTATCTGATAGGTGGTGGGAAGTGAAGAATGTTTGGCACTATTTAGTAAAGGATTGTTATTGTATCATTCAAAATTTTAAAGTAAAGTCAAATAGCATTAAATAAATAATTTCGGAGGCTTTCACGGTTGGAATCAATACATGATCGTTTTCCGGGTTGGAACCGTGTTAATTGAGTTTTTGGGCTCAACGTTTTACACAGTACTGAGTTCAGTACTGAGTTACCGTGCTCCTGAAGATGCCACTGACGAAGGTGTGCGAAACGTTGAGCCCAAAAACTCAATTAACACGGTTCCAACCCGGAAAACGATCATGTAGCATTAAGTAAATTGTATTGCAATTTTTAAATTTAAAATTAATTTTAAATAATTATGAGACAATCTAATGTTGCAAAAACAATGAAAAATAAAGGCCACAAGTGCAAGGTAATCTACACACATTGTACGGAAACAACAGTAAAATTTAAATCAAGTACATGGTGAATTTTTCTGATTATTATCACTACATAGTATAAAACAAAGTCGCTTTCCTCTGTCTGTATGCTTAGATCTTTAAAACTACGCAACGGATTTTGATGCGGTTTTTTTTTAATAGATAGAGTGATTCAAGAAGAAGGTTCATATGTATAATAACATCCATTATATAGTAGAGAAATACTGTTATTTTTGAGGTTTCTAATGTGATGTCATAAATAATTACATTTTTTCCGCTTACATTAAAAACGCAGGGTGAACCCTCCGAGATTTATCAAAATAATGTACTAAGTATTGTACACCTTGAAAAGGTCTACAGAAAACTTCCGGATGGTATATGTCTATGTCTTATGGATAACGCACAATAACATTGTTTTACTCCGAATTTAAAGCGTGCGAAGCCGCGGGCAAAAGCTAGTTAATTCATATTTCTGGATTCAAGGGTTAAATATCAAAATTATGTTAAAACAAAAATTCTGATTGAGTTGTTCGGCTTTCGCTTCAAAATTTTTCATAACACATAGTTATATGATCCGTAAAATAAAAAATCTCCGCTTTTATCGGCTTAAGAAGTGAGAAAATAAGCATAAGTGTATATAGCTGGTTCAAATTAGTTATTTCTTGTTAGTGCTTTTACTACGAGTTAGACAGCCTCCAGAGCGATAATAAGCCTGTAATTTGTAGTCCACCGTCTTGTCTGTTAATTATTGTTTGGACTTTGGAAGCACCAACTGTATTAGTGTTACCAGGAGTTGAAGGCGTCTTTAAACCACTGGAACTTTTGACAAATTCATTAAAAGCATACGTAATATGAATACAGTACAACTATAAAAATTGAGAAGACAGTATTGAAGAAACTGCACGCAATTTTAATTTATTTCATCTGTATTATACTTCCAGCACGTTTTAAATTATACTTCCAGAGCTATAACTAATAAGTTAAAAAAACACATTGAACGGAAACGACAGTAATAAGAACTGATTATCATCTGCATTTTAAACTTATATTAGAAAATTTAACCTTCTTAATTTTCTGGATTATTAAGTGATATTTCCTGGGGACGTTAAATATTCAAATTCTTTTGAAATAGAAAATTCAATTGAGTGTTCAAAAGATTGATTTAGCTTTGAATAAAAAATGATTATTACAGGAAAAGATAACTAATTCTTTTTGATTACGATTTATCTTTCAGGGATAGTCGAAATACTGCAATAGAATTGTTGTGGCAAAAGTCCAAATTCATGTTTTATTGGAATTGCATAGTTTGTCCATCGTTTAGTCTGTTTTACTATTTTGAAGTATTGATATATATTAAAATGTTAACCACATTCTTAAGTTAAAGTGTTAACGGTTCATTCATCACACATTGTTGTTTTGAATGATTCAACCAACTGTAACTTATTAAAACAGTTTTTTTCATTTTTGCTTTGTCTTATTCCCCTCCATTTCCGTTCTACAATTTATAAATAAATGCACATTTCTGAATCAATTTAATTGACTATTTTGTCTTACATACGAATATAGTGTGCACATTTCGTCTATGTTGTTTGTGTCTGTTTGCCTTTAAGTTGTTGACGTTGTTCAATAGATCATGATGAACTTAAACGAAATTCAAGAAAAAGAACTATTTAACGCTAATTTCCAATATGGTCGTTGGTTGTCCTCTCCATCAGCCGGTGAAGAAGTAGTCATATCTGGCATGTCTGGTCGTTTTCCAGGATCTGACAACGTCTACAAGTTTCGTGACAATCTGTTCAACAAAACAGAGTTGGTTACTGAAAATGAGACAAGATATAAAAACAACCATCCCGATTTACCGAAACGAAGTGCTTATATTGACAATATTGACAAACTGGATGCTGGGTATTTTGGACTACATTATCGTCAAGCTGATCATTGTAACCCAGAATTGAAAGTTTTGATGGAAACGGTAATAGAAGCTATTATGGACGCTGGAGTAAATCCGATAGAGCTAGAAGGTAGCAAAACTGGCGTATTCATCGGTTTTTCTTATGCAGATGTGGAAAATACCGCCTTGGTTGAAATGACGAAGTGGCAACAGTTTTCCATTACCGGGTGAGAAAATTTTATAACAAATGAATAAAGAGCGCATTTTAGGCTAAAAAGCTAAAATTGCCCCTAAAATAGGCAAGTTTTAGGAAAATTAAATTTTACGCAACGCCTAATTTTCTTTGAGATCTACATTTATTTAATTACAACATTTGTATAACAAGTGAGATATTTTTCTAAATTTTTGGCAGAAATTTTTTTTCTTTTGTCTCTTAGGACATTTTTACACCTAGAGAAGGCTCTCTCAACAGTTCTGCAGTGTTGGTCTATGAAATGTTTCTTTGTGCTCGAAATGATAAAAAAAATTGAAAACAAATAATTATTTAAGTAT